GTCTGTTCCGGCTCACGGCAACCTGTAGGACAGGGTAGAACTGCCCCTGTGGGTTTCTGAGACTGTAACTCTATTTTTTTTAAAGATCATCTTATTGGGGGCTCTAACAGCTCTCCTAACAACCCATCCATCAATTATATCAAGCATATTTGTACATATATTGCCATCATTATTGTCTAAATATTTACTTTCTATTTGAGCCCTTGGTATCAGCTCCTCTGTTTTCCCTTCCTTCCCCTCTTCCCCCCTTGTACCCTTTGATAAACTATAAATTATTGTTATTTTCATATCTTAACACCGACCGCTGTATCCCTTCCCCCACGGTTTGTGTTGTTTCCCGGCCCCTGGTTGGGGTGTGTGTGTATGTGTCGACCATTGCATTCAGTCACCCATTCCGCCCCTCCTCTGCCCACTTGCTCCCTGCCCTGCTGGTATCACTGCTCCCATTTCTGTTCTTGAGGGGTTTATCTGACCTGGACTTCGTGTGTCGTGAGTGTACGTGCTCCAGTCTAGCCCGCAGTGAAAGGCAGTATTGGGTCATGATAGTGGGGGGTGAGGAAACCTCAAGGAACCAGAGGAATAGTGTGTGTTTCACAGAGACTGTAACCATTTATGGGAGCAGAGAGCCTTGGCTTTCTCCCTCGGAGCGGCTGGTGGTTTAGAACCGCTCACCTTGTGGTTAGCAGCCCAAGATGGAAAAGAACGTGTATTTCAGAAATGGAACGAGGTTGTTCTGACAGTAGCAGAATACCAATTAAAAAAAAAAAAGAATCCAATTGATGGCGACACGATTATTCTACCATCGGGTTGATTTTGACTCGCGGTGACCCGCTGTGGGTCAGAGTAGGATTCTGCTTTGTGAGGCTTTCAGTGGCTGATGCATGGCTGGAGGTCACCAGGCCTTTCTTGGGAGGCCTTCACCTGTTAGTTAGCGACCTTCTAGCTAGTGGAGTTCAGCTGGTGAATACAAACCCGAGTAACTAAGCACTAAGGAGTCCTGGTGGTACAGTGGGTTGGTGTTGGACTGCTAACTACAGAGTCAGCAGTTTGAAGCCACCGGTCACTCCATGGGAGAACGATAAGGCTTTCTGTTCCCATACAATTTTATAGTCTCTGAAGTCCCCAGGGACCGTTCTGTAGAGTCAGTCCCTCCCTGTGCATCAGAATAGGCTTGCTGGCAGCCCGTTTGGTTCTGAGAATGAAGCCTTTGTCCTTTAGCGCCCCCTAGTGTTCTATCATGGAACGAACCAGCCACCACATGCCAGCATTGATTCGATGGAAACATCTAGCCTGGGGATGTTCACTGTGCCCCTGGAATCACACATAGCAGAGGCCTGCATGCACACTGTCATACTGCGCTTATTAAGCCTTCTGGCCCACCATTATTCTCCAACACAGTAATGTGCCATTGTATGCAGACCAAGAAAATGCATGTACCCTCTCTGGATTGCTTCGTCTATACTGCAAAGGTTTCCCTGGAGCTCACACTGCGTAGCCTAAGGCTGTCTAAATAGAGACTTGCAACGCCGCAGTCAATTGAGGTTTCAGCACTAACCTCCAGGCCCAGGGTAAAAAGGAAGGGCTAGGGAAAGGACCAGCAACCCCAGGTGCTGTGGGCTCGATTCTGATTCATGGCAACCCCGTGTGTCAAGATAGAACTGGGTTTGCTGTAGCAGATGGATGGTCAGGCTGCGTGCCTCCCCTCCCCTTCCCAGGCCTCTCCGGGTGGATTCAGCCAACCACTTGCACCACCTGGGCACGACCAGCACAGGGTTACTGTTAGGTGCCTTTGAGCCGCCTCTGACTTGTAGCAACTCTACGCGCAACGGAAGCACGCCGACAACATGGTCCTGCTTCATGCTCACGGTTGCTCTGATATTTGAGTCTGTCGGTGCAGCCACTGTATCCGTCTGTCTCACTGAGAGCCTTCCCCTTCCTCACTGCCCTCCACATTACCAAGCCTGAGGTCCTTCTTCAGGGACTGGTCTCTCCAGGTAACATGTCCAAAGCACGTGAGACGGGCTCTTACCATCCTTGCCTCTAGGGAATACGCTGACGGTACTTCTTCCACGACAAATCTGTTTGTCCTTTTGGCGGTCTTTCAACAGTCATCACCAACACCGTAGTTCAAGGGCATGTCTTCTTCTTTATTCAATGTCCAAGTTCCACACGCATATGGATTGTGTGATTGAAGATACTATGGCTTGGGTCAGGGATCCCTTCATCCTCAACATAATAACCTTTAATCCTTTTAAGAGGTCTTGTACTGCAGATTTCCCCAATGCAATATACATCATTTAATCTCTTGACCGCTGTTTCCATGAGCATTGATTGTGCCCAGAGTGCGGAGCTCCCATCTACTGGGGGTGGGGGTGGGACAGTTCCTTGTATCTATCTGATCTCAAATTCTTCTTCATTTCAGAGCTGCTGCTTATTACAACCAACCCTTACGACTACCCGTTCATCAGCCAGGGAGAAATCCTGGTGGCCAGCATCGATGATGCCGAGGAGCTGTTGGCGACGGATGTAAGTAGGGCCCAGAAGAGAGATGAGGGTTGTCCGTCACCCACCACCTGGACACCTGCCTGACTTGTGTTCTTTCAATGCCAGAGTGCCATAGACATACTAGGCTTCACCCCGGAAGAGAAGTCCGGGCTCTACAAGCTGACGGGAGCCGTGATGCACTATGGGAACATGAAGTTCAAGCAGAAGCAGCGAGAGGAGCAGGCAGAGCCAGATGGCACGGAAGGTAATGGATCACTGGGGCAGGCCAGACGCCAGTGCCAGGGATAGAGAGCTAGGACAGAGGTGATCTCAGAGGACTGTGGTCATCTGGCGCCTCTTCCAGGTGGAAAAGGGGGCTTCTGCAGTACTCGGGTGTCTTAGGCACTGTTCCCACACACGTCTGTGAGATCGCAGGAGTGCTCCCGTTACAGAGTCAAGGGGAAGTGATCAGGGCATTCTGGGCTCCAATCTGACTTCTGCCAAGCCCGTGTGGCAGAACTGAATGAGCTCTGTGGGCTTGTCAGAAGCAGGTTGCTAGGACTGTCTTCCCAAGAGGCTCTCCATAGATTCAAACTGCCAACCTTTCCAGTGAGAGTCGAGGGCAAAAGCTTTGGTGCCACCCAAGAATTCTGTAAGCAGTTTAGAGCTTTGGAATATGAAACACATGGTGGCCATGCAAAAGGCCAAATAGTGACTGAATCGGTTTATATGGAACCGCTAGACCAGGCACATGTCAAGAGACAGAAAATGGAATAGTAGTTACCAGGGCCTGGGGCAGGGGCAGGGGGAGAAGCTATTGCTTTAATGGGTTCAGAGTTCAGTTTTAAGTGATGAAAACGCTTGAGAAAAGAATGGCAGTAAACCGAATGAAACAAAAATAACAAACTCACTGCCATGAGTTGATTCTGACTCATCGTGACCCCATCGCTACCAGACTATAAATCTTTGCCACATCAGGGAGCCTCATCTTTCTTCCAAGGAGCGCTTGGTGGTTTTGAACAGCCCACCTTGCAGTGAGCAGGCCAATGATAAGATGACAGTGCCCCAGGGCTCCTTCAAGCGATCACTGTAATAAAGAAAGAACACAAGGGCTGAAGTAGAAAGCAAATGTTTTGAGAATGATGAGGACAACAAATGCACACATGTGCTTGACACAATGGATGGCTGTATGGATTGTGATAAGAGTTGTACGAGCCCCCAATAAAATGATTTAAATTTAAAAAAGAAAGAATAAAATACTCCTTTGCATTTGACATCACTCAGAAAAATACAAAGCAAAACAACAACAAAAGCCAGATCCAGCCCCTGGCGAACACATGTAGGCTTTGAAATACCTGGTAGATTTTCAATGCTGCTCCCTGTTTTGCGGAGCCCTGAGAGCCCCCCTCTCTCATGGCCTTTCTTTTCTGACCAGTGGCTGACAAAACAGCCTACCTGATGGGCCTGAACTCCTCGGACCTGCTGAAGGCTCTGTGCTTCCCCAGAGTGAAAGTTGGGAATGAGTATGTTACCAAAGGTCAAACTGTGGATCAGGTAAGGAGCTGCCCCGGGGCCGTGAAGGGGGAAAGGGACACCACTCCCCCAGGGACGTCGAGGGAACCACCCCGCTTTCCCCTGACAGGTTCACCATGCAGTGAATGCCCTTTCCAAGTCTGTTTATGAGAAGTTGTTCTTGTGGATGGTCACGCGCATCAACCAGCAACTGGACACCAAGCTCCCGAGACAGCATTTCATTGGGGTCCTTGACATCGCGGGGTTTGAAATCTTTGAGGTGTGTGCTACCCGGGGTCCTGCATTCATGTATCATTGTGTGCTCGGTGGGATGGGCGCTTGGGATTTTCTAGGAAAACCAAACTCACCGCCGTGGAGTCGATGCTGACTCGGTGACCCCTGTGGGTTTCCGAGACGGTAACCATTGACCAGAGCAGACAGCTCAGTCTTTCTCCCACGAGCTTCTGGTGGTTTCAAACTGCTGACCATGCTGACCATGCGGGTCACAGCCCACCGGGTAACAGCTATGTAGAGATTGTTGACCCGATCATATTGATACACCAAAGGTTGGTGGTGCGCGTCCACCCCGAGGTGCCTGGGATCTGTGTCTGAAACCTCAGCCCTCGAGCCCTCGAGGAGCAGCATTGTACTGAGCCACGAATGGGGTCGCCAGGAGTCACCATGGGCTCGGTGGCAACTCTGCTAGTTTAGTGTCACTAGGGACACCATCGAGAAGGTCGACCTGTCACAGCACCTGCTATGAAAACCAGGCAGGAGGTGGGTCAGACAGAAGAGGAGTACCAGTGAGGGGTGCAGGTGTTTGCATGCTTTCAACACACGGGATGGATGAGCCCTGCTAAGATAGGTTTTAGAAGGCATTACTAAGTGGATAAAAGAGAGAGAAAAAGCAATTATTCAATTAGAGGGAGCCAGAAAAGGGATAGAAAGAATTGGACAATAAGCCAGTCATGCAATATTTTACGAAGCTATTCTGGTGGGAGCCCTGATGGTATGGTGAGTTACCCTTTGGGCTGCTAGCCACAAATCAGCAGTTCGAATCCACAAGCCGCTCTGAGGGAGAAAGAGGAGGCTTTCCGCTCCAGTAAAGAGCTATCGTCTCGAGCCTACAGGGCAGTTCTACTCAATCCGATAGAATTGCCATGGGTTGGAATGGACACAACAGCAGCAAGTTATCTTACTGGTCCTGTGCTAAATGCATTCATCAAGGTGCATAATTTGCTATGAAACATAAACATGAATAACAAGATGAGCCTGTCCTCTTGTAAAGGAACATGAAAAACATACAAGGCATGTACCAGGTAAGGCAAACCATGGCTGGTGTGTGGGAGACAGCCAGTCCGTGGCCCGTTGGAAGAAGTAGAAGCACCTTCTAACGGGGGGTTAAGAGAAGGTCCCACGGAGGAGGTGTGATCTGAAGTAGGCCAGGAAGAATGTGACCGTATCTAACGTGATGCTGCACTGGCGACAACCGGAGGCCAGGAGAAGGGGTGTTCAGGAGCTTTGACTTTGACAGAAGCCTAACTGCCCATGTCAACCTTATATTTTGGTGTCAGTTCAACAGCCTGGAGCAGCTGTGCATCAACTTCACCAACGAGAAGCTGCAGCAGTTCTTCAACCACCACATGTTCGTGCTGGAGCAGGAGGAGTACAAGAAGGAGGGCATCGAGTGGACCTTCATCGACTTCGGGATGGACCTGGCTGCCTGCATCGAGCTCATCGAGAAGGTAGCCTCTCCTCCCTACCCAGCCCCTTCGTAACCTCCGCTGCTCCTTACCGTCTGCCTACTGACCCCGTGTGTCTTCACGCCTAGCCCATGGGCATCTTCTCCATCCTGGAGGAGGAGTGCATGTTCCCCAAGGCCACAGACACCTCCTTCAAGAACAAGCTGTACGACCAGCACCTGGGCAAGTCCAGCAACTTCCAGAAGCCCAAGGTGGTGAAGGGCAGGGCTGAGGCCCACTTCTCGCTGATCCACTACGCCGGCACAGTGGACTACAGTGTCTCGGGCTGGCTGGAGAAGAACAAGGACCCCCTGAATGAGACCGTGGTCGGCCTGTACCAGAAGTCCTCTAACAGGCTCCTGGCGCACCTCTATGCCACGTTTGCCACGGCCGATGGTAATGGGCTCTCAGGAGGGTTTGCGTTCGGTTGTTGCCTGCTGCCTGCTCCACATGACCTGAGGTCTTGCCGCGGTGCTCAGAGGAGGCGCTCTTTTCGCTCTTGCAGCTGACAGTGGAAAGAAGAAAGTCGCCAAGAAGAAGGGCTCTTCCTTCCAGACCGTCTCGGCCCTTTTCAGGGTAGGAAACGCGACCCCAAGTTTGTTTGCCTGTCATTGGTTTGTGGCATCCCGGAACGAGCAGCGTAGACTTTGTGTGAGAAGAGTAACGTTGTCCTGATCCGAGGACTGTCACTTAGGAAGGTCGAGTGGCAGCGTGATAATATACACGTGTGAGGGCTAAGAAATATCAATCCAGGAGTTAGTTATCATTTTGTAGGACTGCTGGTTGGATGGACTGGGAGGTGTGGCCTGAGTATCAATGGCTTGGCTTGTGTGAAGGACAGATGGAGTGGCATCTCATGGTCATGGTGCTCTCCGTACAGTTAGGCACCTCCTTGAGTTGGTTTCAGAAATGATGTACTTCATCGGTCTCTAGTCACCAGCCCTTCTAGCCATAAACCAAGCAACCAACTCCCCCCACCCCCACCCCAAACCAAGCCCATTGCCATTGAGGGGATTCCAACTCATGGTGACTGTTAGCAGTCTAAGTTAAGTTCACTTTTCTTTAGAATTAATGGAATCCCGGGGCGTAGTCATTCCACGTTGGACTGTTAACTGCAAAGTCAGCAGTTCGAAACTATCAGCAGCTCTGAGGGAGAAAGACAGGGCTTTCTACTCTCATAAGGAGTTGCAGTCTGGGAGACTGATGGGGGAAGTTCTATCCTGTCCCATAGGGTGGCTATAAATTGGCATGGGCTCGATGGCAGTAATTTTTTTTTTTGAGAATTAAAATGATTTGAAACCATATTTTATTACAAAACTTGCTTCTGTGTTTATAAAGACCTGTTGGAGTGGGCTAAGCATTAGGCTGCTAACAGCAAGATAGGCAGTGGTTCAAACCCACTACCAGCTTCCTGGGAGAAAGAGGAGGCTGCTTCCATAAAGAATTTCAGTCTCCAGCCCAAAAGCAGTTTCTACTCTGTCTTGTAGGGTCAGTATGAGTCGGAATCTACTCCTCGTGCGGGGGGGTTGGGTTTGGGTTTGGGGTTTCTTATAAGCAAATGTAATCTGCTTTTAGGAAAACCTGAACAAGCTGATGTCCAATTTAAGAACAACCCACCCCCACTTTGTGCGTTGTATCATCCCCAATGAGACCAAAACCGCAGGTAGGACCCCTGCTGGTGGGCGGTCGGGCACTCAGTGTTTCCGACAGGGTGTGTGATGTTGGGGTTTCTTGTGTCTGTTTCCAGGGGCTATGGAACATAGCCTTGTCCTCCATCAGCTGCGGTGTAACGGGGTACTTGAAGGCATCCGCATCTGCAGGAAGGGCTTCCCAAACAGGATTCTCTACGGGGATTTTAAACAAAGGTGGGTAATAAAAATGCCCTGCAGGCTTCCTCTGAGATGTGTGCATGCCGCCGTTGGAGATGGAGGAGGATGGGGAGGAAGGAAGCTTTTTTTTCCCCAAAGATCAACCACGGACTGACTTCCACATAAAATGAGTAACCTACCCCTTGACTAAAATAGATAGCCTTGTTTCTTCCTGATTTCTCGAGCACTTAATGTATATACAACTTGGCAGGGAAAAAAGCCCTTCCTTAAAGTCCGAAGGAATCCCTGGGTGGTTCTAATGGCTCTTGTGCGTGGCTGCTCACCAACTGGTGGGAAGTTCAAGGCACCTCCAAGTTGTCTCACAAGCAAGGTCTGGTGATCTACTACTGAGAAATCAGCCTTTAGAAACCCTGTGGTGTGCAGTTGAACTCTGATACCTACAGGGTCGCCATCAGTCAGAACAGACTTGATGGCAATGGGTAAGTTCCCTGTACTGGTGAAGAGTCAGATACCCCAGGTTCTAGGTTGTTCTATGCTGTGTGGCTTTGGGCGGGTTCCTTCAGCTCTCTGGACCTTGGTCTCCTGGCCTTAGGACAGAGGCCTCAACTAGATGGTTTCTAAGACTCACGGCCTGGCTAACAGTCTGCGCTGGTGTCTGTGTCTCCAATGGCAGATACCGTGTGCTGAATGCCAGCGCAATCCCCGAGGGGCAGTTCATCGACAGCAAGAAAGCATGTGAAAAACTGTTGGCCTCTATTGACATTGACCACACGCAGTACAAGTTTGGACACACCAAGGTAATGCATCAGTTCTGATGGATGCTGACCTCGAATTCTCTTAGTACAACGAACTTCTCCAGACGATGGAGTCATGCCACCCTTCTCCCCTCACCTCTTCCCCAGGTGTTCTTCAAGGCCGGCTTGCTGGGGACGCTGGAGGAGATGCGGGACGACCGCTTGGCCAAGCTGATCACCCGCACCCAAGCTGTGTGTAGAGGGTTTCTCATGCGTGTGGAATTCCAGAAGATGGTACAGAGAAGGTTGAGCACGGTCTTTGTTCAAATAGGAGCTCTTTGCGGGGAAAGGGGTGAGTCTCTTTGGAGAGTAACCAAGACTTTGTTTGTAGGGAATCCATCTTCTGCATCCAGTACAACGTCCGCGCCTTCATGAACGTCAAGCACTGGCCCTGGATGAAGCTGTTCTTCAAGATCAAGCCCCTGTTGAAGAGCGCGGAGACCGAGAAGGAGATGGCCATGATGAAGGAGGAGTTTGCCAAAACCAAAGAAGAGCTCGCCAAGTCAGAAGCTAAACGGAAGGAGCTGGAAGAAAAATTGGTGACCCTGGTCCAAGAGAAAAATGACCTGCAGCTACAAGTTCAAGCTGTATGTATTGAGAGCGACCCCTTGTCTCTCAATTTCTAGATTCGATTCTTTAGGGAAACTGGACCATTGGCAGGGAGTTTCGCTTTTCAGTTGAGATGCGTTACAAAGGGTTTCCAACATAGCAAAATTCCGGAGTGTCAAAACCCTTACCTTGTTCATGGCCATGGTGATTTTTTTATTTTAAAGGAAAGTGAAAACTTGTTGGATGCTGAGGAGAGATGCGACCAGCTGATCAAAGCCAAGTTCCAGCTGGAGGCCAAGATCAAAGAGGTGACAGAGAGGGCTGAGGACGAGGAGGAGATCAACGCCGAGCTGACGGCCAAGAAGAGGAAGCTGGAGGATGAATGCTCCGAGCTCAAGAAAGACATAGACGACCTGGAGCTGACACTGGCCAAGGTGGAGAAGGAGAAACATGCCACGGAGAACAAGGTACTTTCTCTGTGAGTCTTCGTAGCCCGGTGTCGCCCTAGTGGATCCAATGTCTATCCTCTTATAAGGGCTTGTGGTTTTCCTAGGTTAAAAACCTTACTGAGGAGCTTGCTGGGCTGGATGAAACCATCGCCAAATTAACCAGGGAGAAGAAAGCCCTCCAGGAGGCCCACCAGCAGGCCCTGGACGACCTCCAAGCTGAAGAAGACAAAGTCAATTCTCTGAGCAAAGTCAAGAGCAAACTAGAACAGCAAGTCGATGACGTAAGTACAGGATGCTCCACGGGTCCCTAGGCCTTCAGGATGGAGAGAGTCTCCCAGAGTCCTGTGGTGCGAGGCGTTTCTTCTTCCATGGAAACGGTGCCTTTGGGGTTGTTGTTTCAGTTGGAAAGCTCCTTAGAACAAGAAAAGAAGCTCCGTGTGGACCTGGAACGGAACAAAAGGAAGCTCGAGGGTGACTTGAAGCTTTCCCAGGAGTGCATCCTGGACCTGGAGAACGACAAGCAGCAGTGGGAAGAGAGATGCAAGAAGTAGGCTCCCCGACCACCGGCCACCGGCTTCGTTCTCACCGGGGTGCGAGGCGGTCCGTCTTCACGCAGTCTGTTTCCCCTTCCAGGAAGGATTTCGAATACAGTCAACTCCAAAGCAAAGTGGAGGATGAGCAAACGCTGGGCCTCCAGTTCCAGAAGAAAATCAAGGAGCTGCAGGTCAGAAGGCTTTGTTCCCTTCCCAGCACGGGGCCAGGCGGGCTGCCATAAGCCAAGTGGGGCAGGTGGGCAGGTTCATTGCTTTCCTTCGCTCCAGTCTGGGACAGCGATGTCAAACAACGTTCCCATAACTTAAAAAAAAATACACCATCAAAACCATTTTGGCCAATATCTAATTAAATGGAAAAACACCCCAGGTTGAGCAGGGAAGGGCTGGTTAGGACTGTGCAGGAGGTGAGAGTCAAGGTTTCCACGAGCTTGGTTATGGGTTTCTGCTTTGAGCCTATGCAGTTATTTCTGGCAACATTGCCATAGTCTCAGAGTTTTCTTTAAATAGTGAAATTTGGATTTTAACCCAACTGTCCTGTTCTTCATCGTTTGCCAATGCATGTCTATCAACATATATGCTAGTGGTGCCTACAGAGCTGTCTGTGTCCTTAGAGCACCGATGTAGTAAAATGCTGCTGATAGTAAATGCAAACAGCTTCAATGCTCTTGGGGAAAAAGAGTCCGATTCCTTATGACTCCTGGGCATCCGTGTCAAGTTTTAGTCTGTAGCAATCACGCAACACCTATTTTGCTGCCCCCAGTTGGGTGACTAATGGGCACTTGCGTTATCTCAGCCAACTGAACACAAAGGGCAGTGTGCTAGACGACTTCCTGGGAAAGGGCAGTGGACCACGTGAGCAGGCTATGGGTCACCTTCGTCGTGGGTTGCCTTCACTAGTCTGGTACAGCATGGTTGGAGAATGTTTTCACAGCCCCAGAAAACCCGCCATCAAAACCATTTTGATCAACACGTGATTAAATGGGGGAGCTATCCTACGTTGGCCACTGAAAGAGGACTATGTTGTAGGAGGGAGGGAAGGAGGGAGGGGGAGAGAGAGATCCTAGTAAGGGAATAGACAACACTCACCCTTCTGAAGAGAAGTCTAGAGTTTTCCTGTTCCTCTAAAGGGGAGGGGAGCAACCCGGCCCAAGCAACGGGAAGCAACCCGGGGGAACGGCTGCCCTCTGCAGGCTCGCACCGAGGAGCTGGAAGAGGAGATCGAAGCCGAGCGGGCCAACAGGGCCAAGGCCGAGAAGCAGCGCAGCGACTATGCCCGCGAGCTGGAGGAGCTCAGCGAGCGGCTGGAGGAGGCAGGCGGCGTCACCTCCACCCAGATCGAGCTGAACAAGAAGCGGGAGGCGGAGTTCCTGAAGCTACGCAGGGACCTGGAGGAGGCCACCCTGCAGCACGAGGCCACGGTGGCCACCCTGCGCAAGAAGCACGGGGACGGCGCGGCCGAGCTCGGGGAGCAGATCGACAACCTGCAGCGGGTCAAGCAGAAGCTGGAGAAGGAGAAGAGCGAGCTGAAGATGGAGCTGGACGACCTGGCCAGCAACGTGGAGAGCGTGGCCAAGTCTAAGGTGCCTGCACAGGGCGCTCCCGGGGGCTTTGGCTCAAAGAGCCATCTGGGGCTAGGCAATGCCAAGGTCTGCTGACTTGGTGTTCCGCACGTGCATCTAATCCTTTAGGCAAACCTGGAGAAGATATGCCGGACACTGGAGGACCAGTTAAGTGAGTCTAGAAGCAAGAACGAGGAGATGCAGAGAAGCCTGAGTGAGCTGACAACGCAGAAGTCTCGCCTGCAGACGGAGGCTGGTGAGGCTGCAAATGAGGAGCAGAAGGCCACGGATGCCCCAGAGGGGGGCAACTGGTCCAAAGCAGGGACAGATTTGGTGGAGTTGGGGTGGTGTTGGGGTAGAATTCCTAGGAAAGCATATTTTTAAGTGGAATGAATGAATTTGGACCTTATTCTGGGCTGAGAGCACGGTGGGGCTTTCTACCCCCATGAAGAGGTACAGTCTGGGAAACCCACAGGGGCAGTTCTACCCTGTCCTGTAGCGTCGCTATGAGTCAGCATGGACCCGCTGGCAGCGAGCTGGGCTATTTTATCCCGAAGGAGGAAGCTAGCCTCTAAAACCCTAACCAAACTCACTTCCATCCAGTAGATTCAGCCTCATTGCGCCCTTACATAGAACAGGATAGAACTCCTCTTTAGGGTTTCTGAGACTAATTCTTTATGGGAGCAAACAGCCTCACCTTCTTCCTGAGGAGCATCTGGTGGGTTGTAACGATCAACCATGCAGTTGGAAGCCCCATACCTCGTCCACAGCCCCACCAGGGCTCCTTAATAAAAATATAGAGGAACATTATTTGGAACTTAGAACACATGGCTTTACCCAGAGGTCGTCGCTTAGCCTCTGATCACAGGTGAATCACCCCTCTGCTCATAGCCACAAGCAAGACAGCTAAGGAGAGAGGCTTTGTTGCCCCTGCTAGAGCCATCCTTGGGGACTCACCTGTGGAATCATGAAGTACCCCACTTGTTTTAAAATCTCGAATCTCTCTGTCAACATCCCAGCCAAGCCTGAACTTGACCATATTCATCGAAGAGTCTAATTTTCAACTGCCAGAGGTAGGAAGTCCTAAGGAAAGTGAGGCTTCTTTCATGACAAAACCAACCAACTGTTGGAAACACCAGCCACTGGGCGGGCCTGACGGGACTTGTTAGGTGCTCTGAGAACCCTTCACATTTACCACTGTTCTCCTTGATAGATGTGACTACAAATTCTTGGGGGTTTACAACAATATCTTATCATATATATGATAGATATTTATAACAATGTCTTATCATATATATATATACATATATACATATACACACACAGCTCCCTTCTCCCCCCAAGACGGGGCCATACCTTACACTATGTTCTCTCCCAAACTTTTAGAATGTTGTTGTTGTTGTTAGGTGCGATAGAATCAGTTCCGATTCATAGTGACCCTGTCTACAGGAGAATGAAGCACAACTTGGTCCTTGGCCAGCCTTACAATTGTGCTTATGTCTGAGCCCATTGATAGAGCCACTGTATCGACCTATCTTGTCGAAGGGCTTCCTCTTTTTCACTGTCCAACGACTTGACCAAGCACGACCTCCTGCTCCAGGGACGGGTCTCTTTGACATCATGTCCAAAGTCTCACCATCCCTGCCTCGAAGGAGCATTCTGGCTGTACTCCTTCCACGACAGATTTGTTGCTTCTTTTGGCAGCCCACGATGCTTTTATTATTCCTCACCAACGTCACGATTCAAATGCCTCCGTTCCTCTTGGGTCTTCCTCATTCGGGGTCCAGCTTTCACATGCAGAGGAGGCAATTGAAAACACCCTGGCATGGGTCAGGCACCTCTGAGTCCCCAAAGTAACCTCCTGGCTCTTCAATGCTTGGCAGAGGTCTTCTGCAGCAGATTTACACAAAGCACTGTGTCCTTTGACCTCTCAACTGCTGCTTCCATGAGCATGGATCCAAGCACGATGAAATCCTCAGCTTTAATCTTTTCTCCCCTTATCCTGATGTTGCCTGCCAGAGTAGGTGTGAGGATCCTATCTTTACACTGAGCACCCTCCGTCTGGGAGGGACAGGGAGTTGTGACGAAGATGACAACGTTCCCCTCTGCCCACAGGTGAGCTGGGCCGTCAACTGGAGGAAAGGGAAAGCATTGTCTCCCAGCTTTCCCGAAGCAAGCAGGCCTCTACCCAACAGACAGAAGAACTCAAGAGGCAGCTGGAGGAAGAGAGCAAGGTACGCCTTCAGAGCGCGTGTGCCCTTGACCCAACATTCAGATCGCGCGGCACGCAGAAACAAAGGCCACTTTAGTCCGTGGGTGATGCTGGCAGGGCAGGCATGAGTCGGGTTGGGCACATGGCCTCGGTTGGCATCCACCATTGCTCTTCTCCCTTGACTTTGGCAGGCCAAGAACGCCCTGGCCCACGCCCTGCAGTCCTCGCGCCATGACTGTGACCTGCTGCGGGAACAGTATGAGGAGGAGCAGGAGTCCAAGGCCGAGCTGCAGCGGGCCCTGTCCAAGGCCAACAGTGAGGTGGCCCAGTGGAGGACCAAATACGAGACGGACGCCATCCAGCGCACAGAGGAGCTGGAGGAGGCCAAGTAGGCAACTTGATCGGCCTCCAGCCCCTAATCAATCACAAGACAGCACACTGCCTGCAGAAATATTTGGGAAAGAATCTGTCTTGTTTCCTCTTCTCCTTTGTCTTTGAATGCCCTGGCTCCCTTCATGGGGAGAAAGAGCTTTGATCTTAGAGACAGGGCAGCTTATTGGTAGACAAGAAACTGGCTTTTGGTAGACAAGAAACTCTCCCGGGCTGATGGATGCAATAGGGACACATATTCCCCACTTCCCGGCCATCTGGTTTTCTGAAATTTTGGATACATGTGAAACATCTACAATCTGACTATTTTGCACGCTAACTACGTCACATCTGACAGTAATTAACACCCCATGGGTCCATTGGCCAGCCACACTCTGATGGGTCTCTGGCTAGTGGACCCTGTGTGCATGTACATCACATGGTATTTCTCACCACTTAGGAGGGGAGAGGGGGTGAGGTCTCCCCCTGCTTCCATTGTGCTGGGTAGAGGAAGCAGGGCCGGGATGGGGTCATCAGGGTTCCCACAGGGATGATAGATGGCAAGCAGCTGGTGGCCTGAAGGTGGGCTGCATTTGAGGGTCTGATTGCTGCACTCAGCCTGAGGGGCATCAGGGATGGTCCAGATCCCACATTAGTCACTGCATTTTGCAGCCTTTTATACTTCCGAAATGCCCCCTCCTGGGTGGGCAGGGCAGGCTACCTGCACAGGGGTGGGATCAGCTAGTGAGTGGCGGCTAGCCGCATCCATAGCTGTTTAAGGTAAAGAGCAGAAGCCAGTTCTGGCTGACATGGCTCGTAAAACTTCTGGATGGCCAGTTCTCATTGGCAGCAAAGTAGAGGGCTGCCCAGTGAGCGGTAGGGGATGCTCAGATATGGGATGCGTGGGTGGGGCCCCCCCTAGTCAGTGTGCACTCCCACACTGGCACCCAGGCACTCCTGCCCACAGACTGGTGACTCGCTGCCCTGATACATACACTGACAATGTATTGACAATGCACAGACAGTGACCAAAGACATTTTGGGGTTGTTGAGGGGATGAGCCAGGGGCATCCTTACAGCAAATACGGTAAGGGTAGGAAAGGGGTAGGGATGGTACGTGGGCCCCTCTGGCTCTGGAAGACTGGGTGATGCTCCCAGTGGGTAGCAGTGGGGCGCTGAGGTCTCCTGGGGCATCATGGGAGAGGGAAAGGTGGCCACTGTGTCTGGTGATCTTGGCAGGGTTTTGGGAAAACATTCCCAGCCCAGGCAAGGGGGTGAGATGAGGTGGCCCTCCTCCATTTGGCCGGCTGTCGATTTTGGCCTAGCAATGGGTCTTTGAGGCTTAGCCAAGCCGAGAAGCACGTGGTGGTGCCCTTACAGCGCTTAGATCAGCGAGTCCCCATTGATGAATACTGGTGTGGGAGAGGATTGCAACTTCAACAGCACCTGCTTCTCTCGCATTTTCCGTTAGGAAAAAACTTGCTCAGCGCCTTCAGGATTCTGAGGAGCAAGTGGAGGCCGTGAATGCTAAATGTGCTTCCTTGGAGAAGACCAAGCAGAGGCTGCAAGGAGAGGTGGAGGATCTGATGGTTGATGTGGAAAGAGCCAATTCCCTGGCCGCAGCCCTGGACAAGAAGCAGAGGAACTTTGATAAGGTGTGCGGTGTGCGGTCTGCCCTGCTCTGGCTGAGCTCTAGGGAAGGAGGTCTGGCACTGACTCTGCCACACGAGCCGAGTGACCTTGGGCATGCCCTGAAATTGGCTGGCATGCGGTTTCCTCAGCTGTAAAACAGAATGGGCATGGGGTGGGAGTCGAGGCCCTGACTGAACACTACCCCTGGGAACCCACTGATTTCTCCAGGGCTCTTCAGCCCCGAACTTCTTGCCTTCCGCCATATTGCTGGCCCACCTGGGTTGGCATGTGGGAATCCAACAGAGACCTCTTTTGCTGGCTTTTCTGGAAGCTTCCCGTTCAGTGTGAAAGGGCAGGCTGAGCTAATGGAAATATTGGAATGTGCAGGGCCATTGCTACGTTCGGAAAAGGCCGCTCCGGCCTGACAGAGTCCTATTTAAAGGAACTGTGTGCCCGTTGGAGAGGAAGAGAGTGGCAGGCGGATGCCCAGGGAGGCCTGGTAGTGCAGGGGTTGTGTTGGGCTGCTAACGCCAAGGCCGGCAGCTCGACACCACCGGTGGCTCCTCGAGAGAAGGACGGCGTGGGGCTTCCTCGTCCCGTCCAGCGTTACAGTCTGGGAGACCCACAGAGGCAGTGTTACTCTGGCCTGCAGAGTGGCCACGATTCAGCACCGACTCGCCGCCAGTGAGTGCACATATGGAATGCAATCCTGGTTAGCCAAATCATCGGGAACAAGGGACCAGCAAGAGAAGCCTCTGAGCCCAGCCCTTCCTCTCAGAGTGCTCGCTACCCTTGGGACCTCGAGTGGGCAGTTGGGTGAATTTGCTGGTCAGTGGGCTTTGTCACTCTCCTGGCGCTGTCTCAGGTGCTGGCCGAATGGAAGACCAAGTGTGAGGAGAGCCAAGCCGAGCTGGAAGCGTCCCTGAAGGAGTCTCGCTCCCTGAGCACGGAGCTCTTCAAGCTGAAAAACGCCTACGAGGAAGCCTTAGACCAACTGGAAACCGTGAAACGAGAAAACAAGAACTTAGAGCGTAAGCAAGCCAGGCCGCGGGCGAGCGTGCGTGCATGTGACGTCACTGCGCAGGTACCGCCGGGCGAGCGTGCTTGCATGTGACGTCCCTGCGCAGGTACCCCCCTCAGACCCAGGTGTTCC